GAATAATAGCAAAGTTCAATAAGACAGAAAACACCAAATGCTGGTAAGGGTGTGGAGAGACTGGATTTCTTAGGCACTGCTAAGAGTACGTAAAATGGTGCAACCACTGTGGAAATGGCATGAAGCATTCTTTAAAAACTGGAACTAGAAATACTGCTTAATCTAGCAATCCCACTACTAGGTATATGTTATTGTTAAGTGCTATCAAGTAGGTTCTGATGCATAGCAACCCTATATAGGGTTTCTGAAGAACAGCTGGTAGGTTTGAACTGCTGACCTTGTGGTTCACAATCCAGTGCTGAGCCTACAGCACCACACCTGGAGTCTGTAAGAGCCAAGACATGAACAGAAATATGCACATCCATGTTCACTGCAGCATTATTTATAATAACAGAGATATAAACAATCTAAATGCCCATCAGTAGGTGAATGGATAAACAAACTATGTACATACATACAATGGAATACTACACAGTGGTAAAGAACAATGAAGAATCCTCAGAACACCTCATAATGTAGATAACCCAAGAGGATATTATGCTGAACATAATAAAACAATCACAAAACAACAAATATTATATTAATCCACTATTTTATAAAAAGTCAAGGAAAGATTTATATAGAGAAAAAACTACCAATTTATATATATGAAGTATACTGCTGTTGCTCTTAAGTGCCGTTAAGTCAGTTCAGACCCAATATAGGGTTTCCAAGGAGCAGCTAGTGGGTTTGAATTGCAGAGATTTGCAATATCAGGGCTCTTTTAGTTTGACTTTGTTGTTCTTAACTGCGATCGAGTTCATTCCGACTCACAGCAACTCTGTATAGGGTTTCCGAGGAATAGCTGGTGAGTTTGAACAACCAACCTCATGGTTCAAACCTTTATGAAGTTTATTAATATTTTGGAGATTCCTGGTGTGACTTTGTAGGATCCGCATTGGACTGTGAATCACAAGGTGGATAGTTCAAACCCACCAGCTGCTCCTTGGAAACTATATACAGGGTCACTATGAATCTGAACTGACTCGACCACACTTACATCGAAAACAACATTCTTTGCTTTGACATGACCAACTGCAGAGAGTTAATATCCCTAATCTCTTTAGCTAGTCTTCTTTGCAAGCTTTACATAATTACTATATATTAAAGAAACATTCCATCATATACAAGCAGAATGCTTATGCTATTTTTGCCATTTCTTAAGATCAAAGTAACTGAGAAAGAATTATTCCTACAAACTCATTACTTATTGCTAACTTGACATATTCAGTTTGATCGTCTGGTGTAATGAATATATTCTCATTGCTAAATTGATTATCTTGACACTTACTCTTGGCACAATACAAAGAAAGTTTCTAACTTCAAATAGAAGGTCTACATATTACTACATTTTAGGGTTTGAAAGCTCGAGGAGTTAAGATAGTCTTTAAAAAAATCAAAGACATTTTGATATTTAGTTGGCAAAACTATGACATTAAGGCAATCTGAATATAGTAGGCCCAAGTATAAAAAATATCTGAAATGTAGATCTCAAATATGATGCGCTTTCTTTCCCCAATATCGTAATACCTGAACAAAATCGGTGGTAGTATAAGCATACAAGTATGCAAAGATTGTAATATCAGATATACTATGTTCTAGTTACAATATTTTCTAGGAAATTTTATCTTAAAACTTTCTAAAGAACCATGTGACTAACAACAGCAGATTGTTAGGGGGGTATTATAATGATACTTATAATTGCTTAGTGTGAAAAGGCCACAGTGTCAAGAACAAGGAATCAACCAAGAGTATCATGTGAATTTCATGAAACAGTACAGTCTGCCTTCCGTATCTGCAGGTTTCGGATCTGTGGATTCAGGCAATTTTGAGTAAAAATATTGGAAAGTGAGAATAAACTAAGGGGTCAGAGCAATCCCTCAGAGTCTAAGAGAGCTTTATAGTGCTATTTATATGGCATTTGCATTATATTAGACGTTATATGTAATATAGAGATGATATAAAGTATTCAGGAGGATGTGCACAGGGGGTTTCAAAAAGTTCATAGAAAAATGGAATGGAAAGAAAATGGATTTTTTTTTCCTTATAATTTTCTGAAGCCCCCTCATATCATGTCATTTGATCATCCAGATTTTGATATTTGAAGGGGTCCGGAACCAATCCCCCATGGATACTGAGGGATAATTTTAATTGTTTAAGGCTGATATTATGCAATATGTTAAAATAAGTTACTGTTAGTAATAACAGCTATTTATGCTTTGCAATGCACATCAATAAATATATTCATTGTATGCATATCAAAAAAGATTGGCTTTGTTTTTCCAAAGAGCAAGTAATTACTGTACCTGATCAGATTTACATATAAAATGTATGTGGCACTGGAAGCCTGGATATCACAATATAAAAACTGAAGTGAGAATCAGTGTAATAAGGATTTCTAGTCAGTACCATGTTTCCCAGAGAGACTCTATTGCACCCATTTCTGATGTCACACACAACTTCACTGCCCATTTTGATGAGCCAGTCTTAACATCTCGTCTACCTTCTCTGCCTTTTGGTTAAGACAGGCACTCAGGCAATGGGACACAGTGATTAGTACATGTTTCTGCTCAGCCTTCAAATAATTAGGCTTTATATACTGCAATCAAAGCAATTATGTTTGTGGCTATTACTTTTTAAAAAGCAGAGATCTAAACACTAACAGAATCAGGACCTATGCTGTTTGCATCTTGCTCACCCTGAACGGCAGAGATCATGGACACAAAAAGATTAGTTTTGCTCTCAAATTATCCTCTGAACATTTGCCTGAGAAGAGATGTCCCTTTAATTAGCCCCACTGTTTGTCTTGAGCTCATCGCTTTCTGACTTCTGGGACACTGCAAACCCAGGTTCTCCTGGAGTCCTGGTGTGGCGCTGTGGGCTAATGTGTCAGACTGCAAAGTCATTTGATCTGCAAGGTCAGTGATTCAAGCTCACCAGCTGCTCCTTGGAAACTCTATACAGGGTCTCTGTGGATCGGAATTGACTTGATGGCACTTAACAACAACAACTCCATCATCTCCAGTCTCTTTCCTCTGACTCTATGGCCTCATTTTCACACATGCATAGCTATTTTTTTTTTTTTTTAATCACAATTTATCTTTCTTTATCCCATTGCACTCTGCAACAGCTATTCTGTTTTTTCACCTCTTTGACATACTTTCTCCATTTCTTTACCACCTGTCTCTTCATCATTTTTTTCTTTCCAACTAGGTGCTAGTTTTGCCTCTCCTCCCATGCAAACTATTTATTAATGTTAACAGTTATTTCTTTTAAATCTTTTACTGTATTCTGCCTGATCTGTAGACCATTTTCCTCTCTAAAGAATTCTTGATACATTTTTGTCTCTTGCCATGTACTTCTGATGACTCTTGCTCAATTTTTATCTACTCGTTGAATTTTTTTTCAGTCTTCTACTTTTTTCACTTTGCCATTCCCTTTCTGAAATATGTTTCCTGCTCTGTTCCTTAGCATTTGCTTAATTCCTATTAGTGTTTTGTTCTTATATATCACTTCCTCCAGGAAGGCTTCTCTGAACCCCAATTTGGGCTAGTGTTCTTCTGATGTGGTATCGTAGCACTCTGTACTAGTACCTTAGCATGAGCTTGGCATGTAGTAGGTTTGAAAATCCAATAATGTATGATAATTATGTATCCCAGCAAGGCTATGGCTCTGTTTCCAAGTAAAGCTAAGTGAGAGAGGCCTATATTGATATTATCCCTCATTCGGATCAAATTGCTCTTCACACCCATGTGTTTTCGGTGTGACCCTATCAGCTACACTAAAGCCCTTCTTAATCCTGTTTATAACAACCTCACTATTAGCTTTCATTGAGATAATGATTTTGATTTTTCACTTTGATTTATCTTATTAAAAAATAGGAGGGGTCTTTTAAAACTATCTCAAAACAAACAAATCAAAGTACCAGAAACCATATTATTTTAAAACATTTTATCATTTAATCATTTTGATAAAATTATAACACTGCATTATTTTGTTTTAATTCCAATAATAGCATCATCTTCAAATACTAAATAAGGATACTAACTCTTCAAAGGGCCTAGGCCATATCCCAACAGTTTAAGGAAAGAGCACTGGCGGTTGATGCAAAGTTATAACTGACTCCTAAAGAACATATTATTTCTAATATTTGCTGTATAAAAATCTATACACAAATGCAATGTAAAATCAAATCAAATCAAAGAGTCATTTAATAGTCATACTCTGCAGACACATCCTTAGAAAAATTCCAAATTGCTGGCATAGCAAATCAAGATAGGTCAAATAGTCTAAACCCATCTTTAACCCTAAACTATAATCTCTGAGTACCTCCATCATAAAGGTCACTACTTCTAAATGCAAAATTAAATTATTTCTATTCACTTTTTTAATCATATTTTCAAATGAATCTGTTTTATCTCAATTCTGAATTGAAAACTTCAATTTTTCAATTCTGAAAACTTCAATTTTTACCACATTTCTTTGGATTATAATAAATTGTAAAGGATAGACAAGAAAACCAGGATAATAAAGATTTTGCAAACAAAATTCCTGTATAGTAAAACTGACCTTGGGTCACTATTTCTTTTAGGGAATATTTAGCAAATTGTTGTTGAATCAGTTCTAATCCATATCAATCCTGTATAGGGTTTCTAAGGAATGGCTGGTGGGTTTGAACTGGCAAACCTGAGGTTAGTCATCCCATGCTTATCCTACAATGCAACATCAGGTCTCTTTTTAAGAAACAGATATCTTCAAAGGTATTCTTGGCAGAGATATTTAATGAGAACTCAAGTATCACATGAGGACTTATTAACTGACTTTTAAAATTCTGTTAAACCTGAGATTTAGGTCATGAATCTACTTAAAGCACTCTAGCTGCTGAATAAATTCCTTATATTTCTTACAACAATAGTAATAAAAAGAAAAGTTTAGCAGCCAAAAGAGAAAATAATACTTACGAGTATTGTGTCAGGAGATCCAAGTCATTATGCATGTTGATTGGATATGATTCACTGAGTTCAAACAACTTCTCTAGGGCCTCATAAATGAAAATGATGCAAATCAGAGAAGCAAAGGCTTCCTCAGTAAACCGGGTAATATAGCAGACAAGCGAGCTTGCATCAGTGGCCACAAGTATGATACACAGGGTTGCAGTCCAAAGCCCAATACTAGCCCTTAAAGATAAGTATGACAATCCATATTCTCTATGAGGAGGAAAAGGAAAGAACAGAGAGGGAAAAAAAAAGGTCACTTAACAATCTTTCACCATTTTCAGTTAACAGAAATAAACCTAATTTTAAAATAGTTAAAATGCTTCCTATTCCATGAGTCACTAAACTCAAGACTTGGTCTACAGGGAGCATCTATTGGGGGAAAAAAAACACAAAAGGAGTTTCTCAGTACTCAGAACTTAACATTATTCTTATAAACATTGCATAAAATTATACACAAATATTTTACTTCTCCTGTATTTCCAGAGAGAGACAAAAAGTCAAACTGAATCAAATGAGACACTTCCTTGTCTCCCAGTAGACCTTCACAGGCACTGTCAGGAGAGTGGAAACACAGAAGAGAAATAGAAAGGGGCAATGGACCAAGAGTACATAGCACTTACTTGCAAAACTTAAACAAAATCTTTTCAAACACCAAAACTGGTCCTGTACTGCCTAATATGGTAAGAGGCTGTCCACCAAAGAGCGAGTAGGCTATCCCAGTCATAGATGCTCCAAAGAGAGATTCAATTGCACTCTGTGTAGAGATATAAATGGTTCAATTACCTAAGCTGTACAGTCAGTCATTATAATTAGAGATAATGTTTCATATCCGTGAACATATGTTTCCCCCTTCACCATGAAAGCTCTAGCAACCTTTGATAGGATGTGGGATAGGAGGGTGACAAACTGAATGAACAATTGGCAAAAAATAGTAGTGAATGGGGATGTGTCCTCTCCATTTTTCTTATCTCATATTTCTGTTGCCTTGTTGTTGCTGTTGTTAATTGCCGTCGAGTCTCACTTATAGCAAACCTGTATAGAGATTCCAAGGAGCAGCTGGTGGGTTTGAACTGCCGACCTTGTGGTTCGCAGTCCAGTACTGATCCTACAGTGCCACACCAGGAGTAAAGTTTAAATGTATTCAGGATAAGTGGACAAAATATTCAGGTTTGGATATATGAGACGTAGCTGGGAATGAGTAAACATTTAAACATATTTAGGATAACTGTCTAAATATTTAGGCCTGGATAAATGAAAAGTATCTGGGAATGAGATCAGAAATCTGTATAATACGCAAAATAATTTGTTCTGAATGCTGTTTCCAAGGAGCTCTGGTAGCATAGTGGTTACGAGTTGGGTTGCTAACCTCAAGGTCAGCAGTTTTACACTACCAGCAGTTCCACGGGAGAAAGATGAGGCTTCTGCTCCTGTAAAGATTTACAACCTCAAAAACACTATGCGGGGTCGCTATGAGTTGGAACCGATTCCGTGGCACATTACCACCACTACCTCCACCTTTCTGCTTCCAGATTACCAGTTTCACTTATCCAGGAAATTTATCTGAAGTTCATCTGAAAGACCATACATCAACTCTCTCCTCTGAAAGGACTTTAAAATGAAATATCAGTTATCTAACTACGAATCTCAATAAATTGGTTATGTTTCAAAGTACAGAGAAAAGCATAATACATACTATACGACCTTCAGTTGCTTCTCCCAGCAGTCCTCCAAAAGTGATGACAGGAGACATACACGCACAATAGAGAAATAGGAAAGATGCTAAGCACTGCAAGCTGAAAGCATCTCTGAAGTCACTCCAGAAGTATGGAGCTTTTCTTTTGATATCTAAAATAAGTCCCCCAAAAATCCTAAAACAAAGGGGAAAACACAATAGTGAAACTCAAATGTAAAAGATACACAAATTAAAATGCTCATCACTTTGTTACCAGGTCACAGAATATGTTTTCCATCAGAAGAGGTAAAACTCATATTACTCTGACATATTGTATTACAGTGATCTATAGGAGTCCTGGTGTGGCGCTGTGGGTTAATGCACCAGACTGCAAAGCAGTGTGACCTGCAAGGTCGGCGGTTCAAGCTCACGAGCTGCTCCTCGGAAACCCTATACAGGGTTGCTGTGGGTCGGAATTGACTCTACAGCACTTAGCAACAACAGCATTGTGTTTCCAAAATACTGTGTGAAGAACCAAAAAGGCCCAGGTTCTCTCAAACATTCATCAATTCATCAATCAAAAATCCAAATAAGAAGATTCAAGGATTCCTTGATTCAGTGACATTTCTATATCAACCTACTCCTTCAAAACTCAGGCCTACCTCACTCAGCTGTTGGCAGTGTTTTCTAATTGTTTACATTCCATTTAGCATTGCAAAAAGGAGGTGTGAGGATTAACTGACTTTTGTATACACAAATAGGGAACATCCCCCTAGAGACAAAAAGCAGCATTTAACATAGTTCAGTAACCTACTCTCTCTACCCCCAATCCCCAGTCCAAAAAAGAAAAAAATCTCACAAGATATTGTTTCAGGCAAACATCTATATAGCTTTATGTTGTTGTTGTTAAGTGCTGTCGAGTCGGTTCCGACCCATAGCGACCCTGTACAGGGTTTCCGAGGGTGTAAATCTTTACAGGAGTAGAAAGCCTCATCTTTCTCCCGCGGAGCAGCTGGTAGTTTCGAACCACTGACCTTAAGGTTCGCAGCCCGATGACAGAAATACTTAGTATAGACAGATGGATCCAGAGTCATTTTCAATTTTAGGGGACTAACAGGGAGTTTTATAATAACTAAAATAGACCAGTGTAATTTTAATCCATTATTCCCTAAACATATTTTAGCCCTGGTAGTGTAATGGTCAGCAGTTCATGTCTACAGGTGCTTCAAGGGAGAAACATGAAGCTTTCTGCTCCCATACATAGTTACAGCCTCAGAGACCCTACACAGGGTCCCTCTGAGTCAGAACCAAAGTCATGGCAAACCATCACCATCATTCCCTAAACATATCCCAATGTCTATCATCCACTAGACAACAATGGCCTTCCCAAAAGCCTTTGCACCTGAGCAGATTCCAGCTCACAGTGACTTTGTCGGATAGAGTACAACTGTCACATAGGGATTCCAAGGAATTCTGATGTGGTGCTGTAGGGTAAGTACTGGACTACTAACTTCAAGTCTGGCAGTTCATATCCACCAGTCACTCTTTGGAAATCTTATACAGGGTTGCTATGAGTCAAAACTTGATGGCCCTTAACAACAACAGCAGCCATTTTTACAGATGCAGACTACCACATCTTTCTCCGGCAGAGCGGTTAGTAGTTTCAAAGCAAGGATCTTTCATTTGGGCAATTGAGTGCTTAACCAAATGAGTGCTTAAACAGGGCTCATTAATAATGGTCTTGGAGTCCTGGTGTAGCGCTGTGGGTTAATGTGCTGGACAGTAAAGTCGGTTTGAACCATAAGGTCGGCTGTTGAAGCTTACCAGCTGCTCCTCAGAAACTCGATACATGGTCACTGTAGGTTGGAACTGACTCAATGGCACTTAACAACAAAAACAAATAATGGCCGTACCCCCTATCCACTGCCATGGAATGGATCCTGATTCACAGTGACCCTGTAGAATGCAATAGAACTGCCCTAGGGTTTCCAAGTCTGTAAATGTTTACAGAAGCAGAGCATCTGTAAAGCAGGTTTGAACCACTGACCTTTTAGCTAGCAGCCAAGTGTTTTAATCACTGTGCTGCCAGGTCTCCTTAATAATGGTTTTACTTGGTATAAATTCATTTATGCCAAATACATCCAAAAAATCACATGAAAAGTATTTGAAAGAGAATTGTTTTGGGACAAAGTATTAAAGTATGAAATGCTGCAAGAATTTTTATACCTAAAATGTTCTAAGTCTATTAGGAATAAGAGCATTAATAAACAGGTATTCCCATTATTAGAACATTTAATTATAATGCAGACTTAACACTCAGCTACTGAAATTTCTTTGTGTTCCATGGAATAAAAATGCTATTCTTAAATGAATAAGGCCATAATTAAGTTCCTGCATGAAGGTTACTGCCACTATGCTAAATACACTTGGAGAATATGAAAATACTAAACTTTAGCTGCTTTAATCATGTCAAAGTTTTAGAATCATCTCACAAATAAATGATTGTTTCCTGTTTTGGGTTGACGATGACAGTGTACATATTCAAAATAACTGAAAAGTTTGCCTTTGATTTGCCTACCTTACCTAGGCATACTGGGAGCATGGTGGCTCTGTATGATAAGCACTGGACTGTGAACCCTAAGGTTCTCAGTTCAAGCCTGCCAGCTGTTCAGCAGGAGAAGGTGAGGCATTCTGCTACCATGAAAATATAAAGCCTCAGAAACCGATATTGGGTCTCTATGACTCAGAATTGACTAGACACTTAACAACAGCAGCAGCAACCTAGGCATGATTGTTGTTAAGTGCCGTCGAGTTCTTTCCAACTCATAGTGACCTCATATCTGGGAGTCCTGGTGTGGCGTTGTGGGTAAATGCGCTAGACTGCAAAGTCGGTTAGAACCAAAAAGTCACAGATTCAAGCTCACTGGCCGCTCCTCAGAAACTCCATATGGGATCCCTAAGAGGCATAACTGACTTGATGGCACTTAACAACATTAAGGAACAGTGAACTTTGGGGAAAATAAAAGCTATGTGGTACAGTTTTACCACCAGAGAGAAAAAGAACCACTCAAAAAAGAAAAAAAGAGAGACTGCATTTGGAACTATAAAAGCAAACAAAATGAGTAACAAAGCTTCCAGGGGAAGGAAATGGAAAAAAAAAAATTTTTTTTTGAACCATCTCAAATTAGGTATGGAGCCTATTGTTGTTGTTGTTAAGTGCTTGGAAGTATGGAGCCTAAGGAAGACAATAAAGAGGATTGCCTCAGGGAAAAACCTCTGGAGAATTAAAAATGCAGAGTTGTCAGGACCAGAAAACTTAGCTGAGAGGATACAATGCAAGCAGGGTGGAAAACAGCCTAGAGGAAAGGGAAGCATCAATCCTGCAAAGCCTTTGCATTTGTCTTCAATTATAATGAAAGCTGTACACACATATTCCCTGAAGAGAGACCCACCCAAGGGTTTTTGATTTTCTGCTCACACATTGCTTGTAGCGAGACAAGCTGTCAAAAATAAATAAATAAATACATACATAAAGAACCATTTCAAGAAATAAATTGAAGCTTTCATCTCTTGGAAGATGTGTGATTAGAAAAATAAATCATATAGCTCATTCAAATCACAGGCATATTAATAAAAAATACCACTATATACATTCTTACTTGCATTTAATAAGATAGGATCTGTAAGACTGAGTTCTTGGTATTTATTTTTACTTTCATCTTCAATTTAAATCTTTCAACAGGCTTTTTTTTTTGGAAGGGTCAGCTGACAGTTTTCTTATTCTAACAATCTGTGAGTGCATTTTATACACAGCAAAACAAAGACTAGATAAGATAAAATGTAATGGTGTGTCCACAAATTCAGTTTAACAATAATGACAATCATTAGTAACTTGAGGACAATCAAATTGGTTAGCATTTTCCCTCCCAAAGCATAGATATGGAGAATACAAAGTAAATTAGATCTCAAGACAGAAATTGCTGACAGATATGACGCTATGGGTTCATGCGCCTGACTGCAAAGCCATTTGAACTGCAAGGTTGGCCATTCAAGCTCACCAGCTGCTCCTTGGAAACCCTATACAGGGTCACTATGGGTCAGAATCGACTCGCTAGCACTTAACAAGAACATTATGGGGATGTTCTTTAAAATCCCTGAAAAATGTTTTTTCACCAACCTTCCTGTTCGCTGAAGTTCAGGTCCATTATGCCCTCCATGGGGTTCTGCTTCCCCATGAGCTGCTGTTCCATTTGGTACTGCAGGGATCTTCCTCTTCTCCTGTGAAAAGTTTATTAAATTTTAAGTTCTGATTGTAAATAACAAAATTAATTTCTTCTCCTTAAGGCAAGAAGCAGTTTTACTTACTTGCAGTATGACCTCTGAGAAGGTATTTAGCTCCCTAAAGTTTCACTTGGATCTGTAGGATAAAGCACTGGACCGCAAGGTCAGTTTGAACCTCCCAGCCACTCCTTTGAAATCCTTTACAGGGTCACTGTGAGTCTAAACTGACTCAATGGCACTTACCAACAACAATAAAGTTTTACTTTGAATCCTGATGTAACACTGTAGGATAAATACAGTTCAAAATCAGTGGTTCAAACCCATCAGCCGCTCCTTGGAACCCCTATACAGGCACTAACTATATGACACTTAAAAACAACAACAAAATTTCACTTCCCTTCTGTTTACTTAGAGAATAACAGAACCTGTTTCATAATAAATTGAGAATTAAATACAGAGATGAGTATTCATTCATTCTTTCAACTAATACTTACTGAATGTCTAGTGTGCCATTCTTTGTTATGACATGGGCAATAAAATGTTAAGCAAAAAGAGTATTCCATTAGTGGAAACAGACAATAACCTTACAGTGTCAGGTAGAGACAGTAAGTAGCCATGAAGAACAACACAGTTAGGCAAGGAGATAGCAAGTGAACATGTAGGGTGGGGGGTGTGGGGGGGTGAGAAGGTGTCAGTTATGGAGATGTCATAGTTTAACTGCATAGTTAAACTGTTTTAAGATTGAAGACAACAACAGGTTGTATTCTTATAACGATAATAATACAGAACAAAAGGATTGATGGCATAAATATGAAGAAACAGGTTCTATTATAAAAATCAATAACTGTTATTGTTAAGTGCCATTGAGTTTGTTCTGACTCATAGTGACCATGCATAGGGCTTCCGAGGTGTGGCCGGTGAGCTTGAACTGCCAACCTTACAGTTCAAACCAACTTTGCAATCCAGTGCATTAACCTGCAGTGCTACACCAGGACTCCCAAATCTAAAATAATAATAATAATAGTGTTGTTGTTAAGTGCTGGTGAATTGGTTCCAACCCATAGCGACCCTGAATAGGCTTTCCAAGGGGTAGCTGGTGAACTTAAACCACCAACTTTGTGGTTCAAATTGACATTACAGTCCAGCACTTTAGCCCACAGAATCACACCAGAATTCCATTAATACTAACTAATACATGTGAGTGCAGATGCTGGCAGGTAGATAGAAGTTGCAGTTCACTTTTGATCACTACAAATTTCTCAGTGGAAATAGGAAACAAGTCAGCATCTGAGAGTGTGGGTCAGGAAGGATGTGCTGAAGACTTGAAAAAAGGTGATATGAAATAGTCATCTAGAGAGAACAAATGGACTAAGGAAGCAAATACAATTGCCTTGCTGTAAGGACCCACTTGAGGTCAGTAGTATGTGGACAAGTCATATTTAAGTATGATTTCTTCCAACTGTATCAATGCCAGTACAGAGTGAATGGTTGTGGTTTTGACAAATACATGTCATGACAGAGGAGCAAAAAAGTTAAGATAAACAAGCTATGATCATAATGACAGACACAAAGTTTTTAAATGAATATTTTCAGGGTTTCCAATGAGATGACAAATTATTCTTCCCTTAAAGGGAAAAATTTAAGTTGTTGTGATTTATACATTTAGAAGATTAAAAACCATAGAAATTAATCCACAGAGAAAATATTTCTTGAATGAATATGTGACCAGGGTGCTTTCTATATTTTATTTCATTTATTTCATCTAATAAAATAATCTAATAATAATCAAAAGGAGCTCTGGTAGCGTAGTGGTTATGAATCGGGCTGTGAACCTTAAGGCCAGCAGTTCAAAACTACCAGCTGCTCCGCGGGAGAACGATGAGGCTTTCTGCTCCCGTAAAGATTTACAGCCTCGGAAACCCTGTACAGGGTCGCTATGGGTTGGAACCGACTCGACGGCACTTAACAACAACAACAACAATAAAATAAAACACATTTTCATAATATTTGTTATTCAGTTACAGGATACATCCTTCAAAATATTAATAACTTTAAGGTAAGATTGAGCATAACTCTATTTCAAACTGGCAATGAACTGTGCTGTCTAATATAGTAGCTACTCCTTGTGTGACCCTATGGGATAAGCAGTGGGCTGCGAACCACAAGGTGAGTGGTTCAAATCCACCAGCTGCTCCTTGGTAACCCTATACAGGGTCGCTATGAGTCGGAACTGACTTGATAACACATAACAACAACAACAACTGCATGTTAGAGTCCTGGAGTGATGCTGCAGGATAAGTACTGAACAGCTAACTGCAAGGTCAGCAGTTCAAACCCACCAGCCACTCCTTGGAAACCCTATACAGGGTAGCTATGAGTTGGAACCCACTCATTGGCACTTAATAATAACAGCAACAACAGAAAGGTTAAGTCATTTGTTCAAGGTTATATTAATATATGGAGTCCTGGTGTGGTGCTGTAGGATAAGCACTGGACTGCTAACCACAAGGTTGGTGGTTCAAATCCACCAGCCACTCCCCAGAAATCCTATACCGGGTTGCTGTGAGTCAGAGTTGACTCTACAGTACTTAACAGCAACAACTAATAGACAGCAACTGAATCCAGATGCCTTGATTCTTAATCCAGTGTAACTTTTACTATTACCTCTCAAAACCCAGAATCAAATAACTTAAAAAGGTCTCATAAAAACAATATAATAAGAAAATAATATAGAGTTTATTATTTGGCCCCAAAGCATTATTTATCAAAGATTTTGTTGTCGATGGTGGGTTTGAACTGTTGACCTTGTGGTTTGCAGTCCAGTGCTGATCCTACAGTGTCACAACAGGATAAGGATAAACTATTTTAAAAATTGTTTGACTTTAAACACATTGCATGCTAATAACTTCTTAACAATATTATGAAGTTAGTTCTGACTTTGTGGTGGTGCTTGTTACAGACCCCTGAAATCAGTCCTAAAATAAAGTGTCAGTTTGCCTCAGAATACCAAAAAGCATAATAAAGGACAACATTTTAAATAAACAAAATGTTTTTAAATGCTTGACTTCACTTTAACTGTTTGAGGAAGAAACTGGCAATAACAGTTACTTTGACATATTATAAATACATTGTATTAACAATATTTTCACTGAATTTCTCTAAAAACTAATGATTTTCTTTTTAACTATTTTGTGTGTATTATATTATCTTTTTTAAGTGCAAAAGCATATGTTGTTGTTGTTGTTGTTGTTGTTGTTGTTGTTGTTAGGTGCCATCAAGTTGGTACCGGCCCAGAGCAACCTTGTGCACAGCTGAACGAAACACTGCCCCATCCTGGGCCAACCTCACTACTGTTGCCACGCTTGAGTCCATCGATGCTGCCACTTGGCCAATCCATCTCGTTGGGGGTCTTCCTCTTTTTCTCTGACCCTCCATCTTACCAAACATGATATCCTTTCTCCAGTGACTGGTCCCTCCTAACAATATGTCCCAAGTATGAGAGACGAAGTTTGGCCGTCTTGGCCTCCAAGGAACACTCTGGCTGCACTTCTTCCAAAATGGATCTATTGGTTCTTTTGGCACACCATGGCACTTTCAATATTCTCCTCCAACACCATAACTCAAAAGCATCAATTCTTCTATGGTCTTCCTTATTCACAGCTTTCGCATCCATATGAGATTATTGAAAACACCATGGCCTGGGTCAGGCGCACCTTAGTCCTCAAGCTGACATCTTTGCTCTTCAACACTTTAAAAAGGTCTTGTGCAGCAGATTTGCCTAATGCAATACGTCGTTTGATTTCTTGACTGCTGCTTCTGTGAGTGTTGATAGTTGATCCAAGAAGAATGATGTCCTTGACAATTTCAATCTTTTCTCCATTGATAAGAATGTTGTTTATTGGTCTAGTGGTGAGCGCTTTTGTTTTCTTTACATTGAGATGCAATCCATACTGAAGGCTATGCTCTTTGATCTTCATCAGTAAATGTTGTTGGTAGGTACCATCAAGTCAATCCCAAATCAACAACCTTATGTACAGTAGAACAAAATGCTCCCTGGTTCTGTGCTATCCTCACATCCTTGACTTTGTTCTGACTTATGATAGGACTGATTTCAAAGGTCTATAAGGTCAGAAATTCATGTTGTTGTAGTCTTCCTCTTTTTGCTGACCCTCTACTTTTCTAATAAGGATGTCTTCCCCAGGAACAGGTCCCAAGCATATGAGACAGAGTCCCGCCATCTTTATTTCTAAAAAGCATTCTGATGTAGTTCTTTCAAAACAGATTTATTTATTTTTTCTGACATACAAATCAATGGTTTATTCAATATTCTCCCCCAAAACCATAATTCAAAGGCATCACAGTTTCTTTCATCCTTATTATTGTCCAGCTTTTGCATGAATATGCAAAGCTTTCATGAGTGTTGCTTGTGGATTCAAGTAAAATGAAATCCTTGACAACCTCAATAGTTTCTCCTTTGATCATGATGTTGCTTATTGGTCCAATTGTGAGGATTTTTGTTTTCTTTATGCTGTAATGTAATCTTTCTTGAAGGGTTTCAGACTGAAACCCTTCAAGATGGATTGATATTATCCTATCACTCACAGTGTTGTACTTAAAGATAGATCTTGAATTTTTTGTTTTGACAATGAATGAGATGCCATTCCTCTTCACTTTGTCATTTCTAGTATAATAAGCCATATGATTTTTAGATTCAAAATTCAGCTCACTAATGCTTGGGATATCTATGTTTATGCAGTCCATTTCATTTTTGGACAACTTCCAGTTTTCCTAGATTCAAGCTTCATATATATTATGGTCTCATTATTTATGGAGGTTTGCAGCTTTTCTTCCCATTTTGTGTCATATCCCATCAGCAAATGAAGGTTCACAAAGCTTTAATCTGTCCATGTCACTAAGGTTGACTCTACTTCCCTAGTTATATTTGAGTATCCTCCCTCCTGAGAGGCACATCTTCCAGCAGTATATCAGATAACGTTCCACAGCTATTCAAAACGTTTTACTGACCAGTTTTTTGGAGGTAGATCACCAAATCCTCTTTCCTAATCTATCTTAGTCTGGAAGCTCCACTGAAAACTGTCTCCCGTGGGTGACCATGCTGGTATTTGAAATACCAGTGCTATAGCTTCCACCATTACAGCAATCAATATACAAGTCACCACTGTATAACAAACTGACAGAAGAGGGGTGACAAAGATGCATTGCTATTGTTGTTTTTAAGTGCCGTTGAGTCTGTTCCAACCCATAATGACCCTGTAAAGGTTTCTGAGGAGTAGCTGGTAAGCTTGAACCTCCGACCTTGCAGTTCAAATGGTTATGCCGCCTGGTGCATTAACGCACAGTGCCACACCAGGACTCCATACAAGAACAGAAATGAGATAATTTACAACCCTCAAAATATTTCACTAAGAAATTGCTTTATTTTAGTAGTAGATCAAGTTAAAATATCTGGCTTTAGTTATAGAATCAAAAAATGTGAATTTTTGGAATGCATGATTCAAACATTTTGAACAATATCTGTGGTTCAAACTCACCAGTTACTCCTTAGAAACCCAATACTGAGTCTCTGACTCAGAACTGACTTGACGGCACCTAACAACAATAACATTGATACAAAGGTAACAGAAATAACAAGAGTCATGAGGAGGCTTCAAATAGTTGGTGGAAAAATAGAATTTTCACCAACTTTTTGAAGGCCCTCATATAATTAAAAATTCTCCCTAATCATAAATGTGATTAGCAGTGATAATGACTTGCCAATTCAGTCATGTAGGACATCACAAAAAGTCATAAGGGGACAGTAATGAGCTTTTTCTTGAGCCATATACCATTTTAATTAAAATTTTAATTTTCTTCCAGTGTAGTCTCTTCTAAGTCGGATCTAAGATCTTTCAAGGCACATAATTTAAAAAAAGAAAGAAAGAAAAAAACCTACTGCTATGTGCCAATTCTGACTCACTGATTCTATATAGGGTTTCTGAGACTGTAAATCTTTATGGAGCAGACAGTCTCATCTTCTTCCTGCTGGGCAGCTGGTAGTTTTGATTCGCTGAGTTTACGGGTTAGCAGTCCAGCAGCTAGCCCACAGGGATCTGTGTTATTATCATTGATTTTAATGATCAAAATGCCAAATTCCTTAATGAGATATGTTGGATAGGATCAATGAAGATTATAACTTCAGGCTCCTGCCTTCTGAAGGATATAATTTAAATCATTTGACACTTTTTGGTGGATTGTACTATTTTAGGATCCATATCCAAAAGAGATAAAGATGATGGGATTTTAAAAAGCATTTTTAAATACACATACCTGGGAGGGAACATTTTTTGGAGGCTCTATCCGAATGCTGGGGTCCCATTCTCCAGGAGGGAGCACAGTTACCTGATCTAGAAATTCATCAATTCCAGATACCAAGTCATTCCGGTCTTTAGCTTTGTAAGCAACATCATGAAATACCTACAGAAGAAAACAAAATAGCATTTATACATAAATTGCAGTACTAAAATCTTAATGCACCCAGTGTTTTCATCTCCCAGTTATCTTGATAAGATTATTATAATGATTTACAGAAATAGAAAGCTCTGACTCTAAAGAAGTTTGCGATGCAAAATATTATCATTTTAGTTTGTTTTAGGAATCTACACAGGTATGAATGCTAGAATGAATGTTGAAATTTCTTAAGGCAAGGAGTAAGGGGAAAGGAAGAAGAAGGGAAACTTATTAAGGTACAATTCATGATTCAGGCTAGGCAAAGGTATTTATGGATAGGTAAATCACAATTCTGGAGAAAGCACTTGCTTACAAATAGAGATACAAATTTACAGACTTCAAAAATCAGTGGAAAAATTCCATGATCTTTTAATGCCGCTTTCCCACAATTTTTGAAAGCCCCCCTCATATATTTGAAATTTTAGCAATATTTAACCTGGGAATAGATAAACTAATCAAAAGGTTAATTATGCTTAAATTTTGGAAATAATGTTATAAATTAGTATTTTCTGGATATATATCTTTTTTTATAAATGTAGTTCTGCTGTGGTGCTGTAGGATAAGCACTAGACTGCAAACCCCAAGGTTGGTTGCTCAAACCTACCAGACTTCCTCAGAAACCCTATAAAAGGTGCTATGAGCTACAAGTGTCTGGCAGCACTTAACAGTAACAGCAACATAAACATACAAAAAGTATATTTCCATTCGAAGTATGAGTTACATTTTTAAACCTAAACATACACACATACACATGTGCATGTGCACACACACACACAAACAAGTTCAGCAGTCATTTGAGTTATTGACGGGCATCGCAGGACTCCTTCAGGCTACCTGGTAGAATTGCATTTCCTTTCCATTTTCGAAATTGGGTGTGGCCTAACAAGTGTATATAGCTTCCTGATTTAAGCTATGAAAGCAGATATGTGCCTTATCACACTCTTTGGTCCTCCATTGTTGTTGTTGTTATGTGCTGTGGAGTCGGTTCCAACTCATAGCGACCCTGCACAGGGTTTCCGAAGCTACAAACCTTTACGGGAGTAGAAAGCCTCATCTTTCTCCCACAGAACAGCTGGTAGTTTCAAACGGCTGACCTTGCGGATCGCAGCCTGATTCGTAACCGCTACGCTACCAGAGCTCCTTGGTCCTCCATAGTGATTGAAAAAGCACAGGCTTACATGGAGCTTCGATAAACCTGGGTGACTATAATGAGCAGAGCACCTCTATGAATTTGTGACAAACAGCATGATGGAAATAAACCCTTGCTGTTTTAAGCCACTAGAATTTTAGTTGGTTATTCCTGTCACCCACTAACCTCTCCTGACAGACACACATAGAAGGGATATAATTCATACAAGTAGTGAAAGTAAAAGTAAGAAAAAAACAGGGAAAGTTAATTTATACTAACCGTAATATAAATATTTCTGATGATTCTTTGTGTTCTACATAATATGAAATGGGATAGAGACATATTGGAGGTTAAACATTTCTATATTATTCTTTATGCTGGCCTACATTACAGTGACCACATTTTCCATGAAGTTTCTGCTTTCAGATATTCAGCCCCTCTTTCCATTTCTGGTTGATTACTCAACCTACATTGCTGGGGAAGTGATGCTGTTGCTATTAAATGGCATCAAGTCAGTTCTGACTCATAGCGACCTTTGATAGGGTTTCTGAGTCTGTACATCTTTATGGAAACAGAAAGCCTCATCTTTCTCACATAGAGCAATTGGGGGGCTTTAAACTGCCGACCTTGTGGTTCTCAGTCCAGTGCTTATACTAAAGAGACACCAAGCTCCCTGAAAAAGTGATAACAATGATTTTTAAAGACTTTATTGGCCTTACAACTTAGAATATTTCATGAAAGATTATTGGTGTAATGAATATATAGTACTATTTTCGTTGTGTTTTAAGTAAGATTTTTTTTTAAATATTAAAAGCACAGGTGCTTCTGCTTCAAGCTTTCAATTTGATGGTTCATAATACCCTCTTCTACAGATCTGTACATGGCCATGAGATCCAATCTGAACATTTAATAATAATTGCAAATGTCCTTAAACTCTAAGTATTTAGCAACGCTACTCTTTCCCTGCTAGTAGCAACTTTCCTGACTCTTTCTTGTTTTGACCTTAGTTAATTAAAAATATTTCTATAAGAGATCACATAATCCTACACCTAGTTTTAACTAGATGAATGTCCAAATCCATCCGGGAGAGGTGTTTCCTTATTATTTGAAGTGTCTGCAAAGATATAAACACTATAATTTAAAATTTTTAAACTAAAACACTATTACTATTGTTTTCCTACTACCAATCTCCCCAGTAAATTACTTAGCCATTGCCTTAAATTGTTCTTCTCCTTTCTGTTTGCCTAGTTAGTCCAAATTCTGATTTCAATGTATATCTATTTGTCTCATAAAACTTGCTTAAAATCTTCTCAAACAATATTAGAACAATGTTAAACAATACTGTTAATAATCTCCTAACACCTTGTTATTCCTCATGATAGCACTTACATTATTATAATTGATAGTTAGTTGTATAAATTATTGTTCAATGTATTAATATTAGAAGAATCGCTGGTTCAACTCAGTAATTAATTCATTTTTTTAAAAAAGCATACATTGAACCCTGAGTTAGGGATAGACACTATGCTAAACTTGAAGATACAAAAGGCAAAGACAGTATACCTATAAGGCGTCCCCAATACAGAGAAGAAATAGGCAAATTGAGCTCAGTTAAATGAATAATGATCAAAGAATTTGAAAAGTGATTTTGTCAGGACTACAAAAGTAAATATGTGATCACTGCTTTCACAGAATATACAGTTGGATAATGCAATTCAGTTCATCACTTCACCTAAATAAACTACATATTAAATTTTGTTCTTAAAGTATATGTAACTATTCAATAGTCTTCAAGACAATTAGATAAAAGGAACAACTGTTCTATCTGTGCTTTGAACAATAAAAAATAATTCCCTTAAAAAATATTTAAACAATGTTGATGTCTAATCAATGTCCTATTAAAATTAACAGACCCCATCTTTTAAAATAGTAGCTATCTGGTTGGGTTTTTGTTTCTTTATCTCACTGCCCACACTTGGTTTTAATTTTTCAAGTCTAAAAGGTTAAAATTTGACCCTTCATAAGACTAATGCTTGTTGTTACATTAGACAGTTCTCATATAGTAAAGAAAATTAATGGAAGTTCCTTTTCTGCTTTTACTTGAAATCTAAAATTTGTAATATGTGACATATCCTTGTTGTTCTATTGACCATTTGATAAGTCAAAAGGACTTGGCAACTGGCATCTTGACAAAAATCTTGATGTCTGTTGAGTAAGAGGAGGATGAGGAGGAGAGAAACCTTGAGTGCATGGGAAATCTCATGTGCCTTCTTCACATTATAGTATATGCCATGCCCCACAAATGTTTTAATATCATGTCCTGATGTTTGAGATGAGGAAATAGTTTTCACCTAACACATGACCGAACAGTAAACACAAATGTGCATCGAAATAGTGACAATAAAATTTATGGGACACAAATCACAGCTTCAGTTATTTTGTGATTCTGAAACATGGCACAGTATATATCAATATGGAGACACTTAAAACAAAGACAGCATTAGTGCCTTCTCATTGTTAGTTCTTTGGTCTTCAACAAGCCCCTTTTTCACTCTACTCTCTCCTCCCAGATTTCATCAATATAATGAGCTACTCATTCAACTGAGTCTTTTTGAAAACTAGTAAAAAGATGTTTTTTTTTTTATAGCTTTATGTTTCTGATTTACATCAATAACTAATTCAACAGAAACATCATTTTAATGTATATAATAGATTTCTTAAACCAAGAAAAAAAAATAATGTATGAAAAGTATTAATCAGTGATTTTTTGCACAGATTTTTCAAGTATCATAGCCAAATGTTTCAAAACATATACTAGTAAATTAGTAGATTGTTGTTGTTGTTAGGTGACATCAAGTCGGTACCAACCCATAGTGACCTTATACACAATAGAACTAAATACTGCCCAGTCCTGAGCCAACCTGAAATTGTTGCCACATTTGAGTCCATTGATGTTGCCATATTTCCAATCAATCTCACTGGGGGTCTTCCTCTTTTTCTCTGACCCTCTACCTTACCAAACATGATCTCCTTCTCCAGTGACTGGTCCTTCCTGGCAATATGTCTGAAGTATGAGAGACGAAGTTTGGCCATCTTGGCCTCCAGGAAGCACTCTGGCTGCACTTCTTCCGAATCACATCTCTTGATTCTTTTGGCAGCCCATAGCACTTTCAATATTCTCCCCCAACACCATAATTCAAAAGCATCAATTCGTCTACAGTCTTCCTTATTCACTGTCCATCTTTTGTATGTATATGAGGTTACTGAAAATACCATGGCTTGGGTCAGGCACACTTTAGTCCTCAAACTGACATCTTCAACAATTTAAAAAGGTCTTGTGCAGCAGATTTGCCTAATGCATTACGTCATTTGATTTATTGACTACTGCTTCTGTGAGAGTTGATATTTGATCCAAGAAGAATGAAGTCCTTGATAGCTTTGATCTTTTCTCCATTCATAAGAATGTTGTTTATTGGTCCAGTTATTAGTAGATTAGAGTCCAGAAAATGTTCAACACCATTCATGACTGAAGATTGAATTAGTCTCTTCTGTGGTTGTTTTGCATTTGCTCTTTTCTTGTTAACAATAATAACCTCTTTTCCATAAAGCATTAGGGAATATAAATTTAAAATTGTTATGATACTACTTTTCATATTTTTATTATCTTACTTTTTTTAATATAACTTCTTTAAGAGGCTGAAGAAAGGTTATAGTGCCCCGCCCCCCAAAAAACCTACATAGACATTTTATACTACATAGAAAACATTTATGTGCTATACTAGGGAGGTGACAGATTTCCTGAAATCAACCCACAACTCTTCTAGTGGTTCAAAGACTACCAAGTTAAAATCATCTACATTCAAGCAATTGTCAAAAGAATTGATAGATGTTGCATAACGTTTTTGTATTTTGTAGACTATTTAGATCAACTACAGTAGATTTTTTTCTTTAGACTTTAATATTATTTTCCCCAAACAAGCTTTACAATGATATTAACAGTGGTGCTCACATCGGCAGCACACATGGTAAAAGGGGTCCATTAACGTCTACACTCTAAATGCCATTAAATAACAAGGTTTCTTTAGAATAGGAGGTTAAAATATTATATTCATATACGTGAATTAATAAATTCTTTGGAACAAATTTTTCAAGGGAAATTTTATAATGGATACATGGGGAAATGGGATTCAGTCAGAGAAATCTGATCCACAGCAAATTATCATAAATACAGGTCCTCTAAAAATGAGGTGTAATGAGCAGGAGGAAATGTTCCCAATGAAATTGAATAAATACCTCATCTGTCATTAAGGTTGCAATTGATCTGCCAATCTCATGGTACTGTTGACCCTTTCCCAGGGGTCCCAGAAGAATGAACAAAAATCTGTAATTTAGAAGGAAAAAAAAAAAGAAATGTTTTAAGGCAGAAAGCAAAAATAATTATAGTAATACAGAATCACTCCATCTCAAGGGAATAACTGAAGTTTGGGGGTTTTGATGTGAAATATTTTCATAGTTTTTCATAGTTTATTATTATTTTGAAATATTTTACAGTGATTGACTCTTACTTACTTCTTAAGATCCTTGCACAATAGGAATAAGTACTTTCAATAGGTATAAGTGATTTCAGTGCTCCCCCATTTAGTTACCCTGGAGAGCACACAGTTGTTGGGAATTTCTAGGATTGGGGATGCTTAGAATGGGAATCTGGTGGTGGGGAGGAGGGAGTAAAGCACAATTAAATGCTTCTAAATAGAAAGGAAAGGAGCTCACTAATATACAAAAAGAAGAATTAGTTGGGAGGGATGGGGGGAAGGTAGCATAGTAGTACACACATAGAAATGAAATAAACAGATATATATGATATTTGCATTAAGTAGAAAAAATATTGTCAGGAATCAAAGATTTGATAGGCAGAAAAAAATAGGGAGTTAATGATCTATTAATTCCAAAGCTAGACCAGTAAAAATACCAGCTGCATTGTAATACTCCATTCAAAATTATGTGGCAAGTCTGGCAACTCATCATCACAACTGAAACTTTTGAAGAAATCATCCTGTACGTTCTCACTTTGGAAGTCTAGTAATTGCCCTGAAAAGATCATTGCTTCGGGAAAATTGTTAAAATTAAAGAGTATTTTATATTCTGCAATGTAACTCTATGGTATTAACTTGTTAAACACTTTATGCTACTTAATATGAAAACTGATGGCTTTGTAAGGTAGACTGGAAGAGATACAATAATTCTATTCTTCATTTAGTCGTAAACATTAGCGATCACACATGGTTTTAATTATTCCTTTTTGCCAGTTTTTTACTGAGTATAAGTCAATTTTCGCTATACAGAAGTGTCCAGGATATATTATAAACAGATGTAATTTGATGTGCTGGTAAAAGCTTTATTGACTAAAATTCTTTTAAGAAATTTCCATTACATGAGCTATTTATACGTTACAAAAATATTATTCTCTGTTATTTTTACTATGTGTTGTTATTATGCTCATGGTCTGCTCTTTTGTCCTAAGGATGTATAATTAGAAACCCTGAATGACTTCCTTTATTCTATTTGTCTAACTAATCTTTTTCCATTTTTCACCTTTCTTAACTAAATAGTCTAGTCTTTTGAACCTCCCTCATAATGTGGCTCTTTAGTGCCCCTAATTTTTTCCATTGTTCTCCTCACATATTTTGCTATGTCAGTATGAAATGAGGTCACCTAAACTTGACAGAGTATATAACCCCATTATGGTTTTTCTTTACTCCTGGGGGTTTTCCTTTTCTCTCCTTTGAAACATAGAAACTATGTCAAAAATAGTCATCATTTACTGTGAGTTCACCAGACACCTTCCTAAATGGCAAAAGGAAATGCATTACTTAGATAACTAAAAGGAATTTTAAACTATGTTAAAATAATACGAAACTTAGTAAAAAGAAGCCATGGTGGAACAGTGGTTAAGTGTTCAGTTGCTAACTGAGAGGTCATTGGTTTGAACCCACCAGCTGCTCTGTGGGAGAAAGATAATGGCAGCCTGCTTTCATAAAGATTGTTGTTGTTGGTAAATGCTGTCAAATCTGTAAAGATTATAGCCTTGGAAATCCTAGGGGGCAGTTCTACTCCTATAGGATCTCTATGAGTCAGAATCAACTGGACTACAATGGGTTTGTACTTTGAGTAAATCTAACATCTTAAATCTGAATCTCAGATTTCAGAAACTGTAGATTTGTTAGAGGTTGTGCATAGAAAACAACAGCCTTAACCATATAGTCAGATGCTATTTTTATGTGCTTAGCTCATCCTCCTCTTTTTAAAATAAAATTTGGTATGTATTAGGATTCTCAATAGTCTCAAAAACAGGACAAACAGAAATTTCTTTCTATAACCTGAATGGTAACCAGGTTTCAGCCTCATACTGCAGGGTCTGCCATAGGAATTAGAACATTGAATTCCATTCCAGTCAGCTGAACTCTTATAAAAATTAAAAAAAAGAGTCTCTCCTTGAGTCATTATTCCATATTTTTGGACTACCTTATTCATAAAGCTGGGAGTGATGGAACTAACTGTGTTTTAAGTTAATGCCAACAGTCCACAAGCCTAATTGCCATAGCACCTAGATTTGTCATCATTTTAACATGATCAAGGCATTTGGTATTTGGGAGAGGATGTATATTAACAGCATCTGAGACAATTGCATCATTGAACAAAGGGCACCAGTCCTGCTGGGAATGGAGCAGTAGACATATATTCTTTGCTGTGAAAAATAAAAGCAGAGTGATAGGCTGTACATACATAGGAATCACATGTGATGACTGGAGAAGGGAACAAAATGAAGTTAGCAAAGTGCTTTGCTAGGGACCTAAAAGTGCTGAAGGCAATATACTTTTGCTTTGTTTTTCAGTTTTGCCCATGGACAGCCTTATATCTGTAAAACAGGGATAAATGATAACCAACATTTTTTCACATTATTGCTAAATTATTTATGTATACTTAAATGAAAAACAAGTTCAGTTAACTAAATTAAAATTGTACTTTTAACTGGAATTCAACCACCCTACTATGAAACAACTACTAGCATCTATGTAGACCCCATGTGTAGGATGTGGTTTGTGCCTAGAATGGAAACATACATCACATTTGATAAGTCAGGGACTATCTTAATGGTGACACTTGCATGTATTTGAAATAACTTCTCATTCAGGTATAAGCCAAGCCTTGGAAACTGGTCTTTTTGAGTTTGACCACAGATGTATAAACATATTGGATCCTCTCTTCAGTATACAGTCTAATCAATCTTTGATAGAAATGTAACATTTTATCTCTTTTTCACTTCTCCAAAAACAAAAGGTAATGAGAGTTTTATGAATCAGAACTCTAAGGAAGAAATTATATTTAATTTATTGGTGCCCCCCCACCATAGCCCTACCCTCACAGACACACACAAAAAATAGTTGAAGAACAATGTGAACGATATTCTTATGACATTTACCTTGTTGGGATTGGGACCTCAGCCAGCCCTTGAAGCAATACAGCTGGAGACAACCTGACAAATGCAACTACAGTTCGATCCAAAAACTCGAGCTCCCCAACTAGGATATTTGAAGCTTCAGCACCTGGAGGAATCTTTTTCATAAAATGTAGATCAACCTGAGAGCATCACAAAGTAAAATAAGATAAGCCAAAGTTGAAATCATTTGTTAAATCATATTCTAGCACAGTGTTTCACATATGGTAATCCATCAATAGATATAATTTAAATAAATACACATAGTTATTATTCTTCAATGAATCTTATTCGGTATTAACAAGCTTAAAATTTTAGTAAAGAAAAATTCATATGTTCAATTATATGGATACATACTAATCACAATTTAATTTGCATTTGTTTATAGATGTACATATTTTACACTACACTACCTTTATTTTTGTATATAATATTCAAAATATGCTTATTACAAGAGAAACATAATCATATTTTTCTTACAGCATACATTATAACTTCAAAACTCATAGTTTTTTTCTAGCTGTTCTATAGTCTTCATAGTCTATACTTGACCTGATAATTCTTCAATTTTAGTTATTCAACAAAGAATTTTAGGAATGACAGAGTAGAGAAAACAAGAATAAAATTATTAACATTTGAGGTGCAAAATATTTGACATGAGATGTCTATGATTCAAATGAATGCACACATAAGCAATCAAACAAGAAGAAATGCTAAGCAAACAGTAGAGAGTGAAGTCTGAAAATACGGATGTACAGGATCTATAAGTATAAATATCAATTTTTATGCACAAGGCCGAAGTGGAAATCAAGCAGTGACTTTAAAATCAATTCTACAAAGCCTACTTCATTTTGTAATTCATTTGAGTTGCTTTTTACAGAAAGCTGTTTGCAGGGAGAATGGGAGTTTACCTGCTCTAGCAATTCATTTTATGCTTGCATGTTAATGAGAGGGGGCCCAAACATCAAATGGGAATAGCTCAGAGAGAGAGAAAGAAGATTTATGACAAATATGAGATTTTTGGCAAACATGAGATTAGGTTGAGATTCTTCAGACTAGATTTTTTTTGAGGGCTTAATGATTTGGAAATATTTTTTTCAGAAATTAAAAATATAACTATTTAAAGCTCTTGTTGTTGTTGTTGTTAAGTGCCGTCAAGTCGATTCCAACCCATAGCGACCCTGTATAGGGTTTCCGAGGAGCAGCTGGTAAGCTTGAACTGCCGACCTTGAAGTTTAAACGACTTTGCAGTCTGGCGCATTAACCCACAGAGTGTGTTAAAGAGTCTATAGCCACATTATTGACTAGATTAGGTATGTTGCTTTCTAAAATCAAGGACTCATTACTGCTATTTTGAAGGTCTATAGCTAATTACTCTCTTTGGAAGTAGTAATGGCTCCTCAAAACACGAAGCCCAGTGTAAGAACTATGCATTTGATCATAAAAATGCAATACAAAAATAATCTATAGTACTTCTTGAAAATATCAAATAGATCTGTTTTAAAGGAAAAGAAGCATGATATAAAGGAGCAAAACTGCCTTTAACAAGATGTAAATGGTAAATATGATAAGTTAAAAAGTTAAAGTTTTTAGTCTATAGATTTAAAAAAACTCATAAAATACATTCACTAGGATATTATATATAATGCATATTTTCTTTTGCAGAATCAAACATTTCAATTTATAGATGCGAAAGGTTAAATTTCATAGGGTTCATTATGCTATTTTTGTATTTATTTTTCTAGTTAGGAGAAATATATACGTTACAGAATGCTTCAAGTTAGTAATGCCATGCTTTACTATAATGCATAAATTCCCAAGTAGAGATTTAGAGATTTCACATTAGGCCTTATGAGAAAAAAATTAAAATCTTCATAAATCTTTGAGTCTAAAAGTAAATAACTGAGGTTATTTCCCCAATAAAAAGAATAATCATAAAACATTAACATACCAGAATAAAATTTTAAATGATAGATTTTTAAAGCAAATCTATAATTAATTATCCATTTTAATTATACTGTTGTAATTTTAATTAAAAGGAGCTCTGGTAGTGTAGTGGTTACGAATCAGGCTGCTAATTCAGGATCTGCAGTTCAAACTACCAGCTGTTCCACGGGAGAAAGATGAGGCTTTCTGCTCCCGTAAAGATTTACTGCCTCGGAAACCCTGTGCAGGGTCATTATGAGTTGGAACCGACTCCACGGTACTTAACAACAACAACAATTTTAATTAAAAGTTTACATTTCACCTGGAAAACTGTCTCCAAGCTCACGAATTACTCAAGCAATGCCATAGTCTTTACTATTGAAGTCTATGCCTCTGGCAAGTAGCAATTTTTGAAATAACTGATTTAAGATAGAATTTCATTAAATAAGGATTATGTAGGATGCTAAAATAGTTAATTTTATAAAGGAAATATCTGGTCCTTTTATATATTTTTTTGTTCTATTACATAATACCTAATACATCACTAATATTAGTTATTTAGAAAAAAGCATTAAAATATAAACAATTTAATATCTAAATTAGCAAATTTATCTTTTGATTCTGAAATATAATATATTACAATTATAATATAAATCTGGGATAATCACTATGTCATATTTATTATCTTTTTCCAGGGTAATCCGGGTATTTGTGTTAATATATATTATCTGTGCACTGTAGAATCAGCACTGGACTGTGAACCACAAGGCTGGTGGTTCAAATCCAAGTTACTCTTCAGAAACCCTACACAGGATTGCTATGAGTCAAAACAGACTCCACAGCACTTAACAACAAAAAAACAACAATTATATTGTCTGTTATGTGCAATTATATATTATATAATATATATGCAATTATATAATGGAGTTTTGGTGTAACACTGTGGGTTAATGTGCTGGATTGTAAGGTCAGTTTGAACCACAAAGTTGGTAGTTCAAGCTCACCAGTCACTTCTCAGAAACTCTAAACAGTGTGGCTCTAAGTTGGAACAAAATCGACAGCACTTTGCAACAATAATATAATGTTATTGCTGTTAAATGCCATCGAGTCGATTCTGATCCCTAGCGACCCTGTATAGGGTTTCCAAGGAGCAGCAGTATACAATATATAATGCATTTTTACATTATGTTAATATATAGTTTATAAAAAACTCAGCTGGCAATATAGCTGTCTATTAATGTAACCCACTTAATGCTATCAAGTCAATTCCAATGCTGTAAATATTTACACCAGCAGACAGCTTCATCTTTCTCTCCAGAGCTACAGTAGACTTGAACTGCTGACTTTGTGGTTAGCAGTCTAGTGTTTATCCTACAGTGCCGTAAGAGCTCTTTTCTTTTAATACAACAAAAATACCACATTTAAGGACAATTTAGCCTGTTACATAATTATCTAAGACAACTGGAGTAATCGTATGGTGCTGTGGCTTAATGCACCAGACTGCAAAGCCATTTGAACTGCAAGGTCGGTGGTTCAAGCTCACTGACTGCTCCTTGGAAACCCTATACAGGGTCGCTAAGGGTCGGAATCAACTCGATGGCGTTTAACAACAACAATAACAACAAGCCAACTGGTGTGGTGCTGTAGGATAAGCACTGAAGTGCTAACCTAAGCACTGAATTGCTAACTGCAAGGTCAGTGGTTCAAACTCAACATAAGTTCCTTTGTAACCCTATACAGGGTCATTAGGAGTAGGAACTAACTCCAAGGTATTTACCAACATCAACAAGTGATGATGTCGGTAGAATTGTATCCCTAAAACTATCTTTAAGTGTACTGAATCACTTGGAATGAACATACTCAGCACTGTTTCTGGTTCCCTGAACAGAACCTTTAAGAAATCATATTACATATAATCTAGATCTGGACCTACACTTATGTAGCTAACCTTTATGCTAAGAGGAAAAATATGTTTTATTCTGGAAATTTGGCACTTAAGCTATCTGTGAGAAACATTTACATCTCTAGGAAAAAAGATTATCAGAAGATCATAATGCAGATAGAAGTATCTGGGCAAGTTATAGACTGAGACTGAACAAAGAAAATTCAGATGGAAATTTAGGGAGAAAGTTTAAGTCTTAAAGTCATTATAAAAATAGAAGAAAGTTAATAAAAGAGATCCTCTGTGGAGAAATGGTATCATGATACTAACATGACCTTGAGCAGTTCTCTTAAGCTCTCTGGTGATTCAGATTTCTCACCTATTAAGTGAGACGATGTCTACAGAATCCAACTCTTTATGCTTCACATACTTTAGATAAATGCTGAAGAAATTTTACATTGATTTTTTTTAAATGAAGCCTTATTTTGGTTATTTCCAATAAGAAAATATCACCAATATTTGGGAAGAACTAAAATAGTCATCTTCTATATGTCAGAGACATAAAGTGTTTTGACACCTATGCTTTTTAAATGTATTATAGGAAACTAAAACTGGACAACTCAAATTAAATTCTAGAACACTTTTTAAATAAACAGATTTGATGGGTTTACCCATTGGAAGGGGAACATGTAGATACGATGGATAAGTTGCATGAAATAAATAATTTCCTTTCTAATTTTTTTATAACATCTTAAAAGTTCTGCTGGGATTTTGAATGTGCTAAAACTTAAAATATTTAAATGGATAAAATAACTGGAGACTAACTGAATTGTGATAAAGTTACTACCAAACTGAAATCATAAGGCTGAAAAATCTTAACATATGTACCTGCAAATTCTGGCACTGAACTTTGTTTTCACGGTAATCAATGCTGGCTGCTGTTTTCCATGCCCTAAATCTTTGTATTTCCAAATTAAAAAAGCAAGAACTACTACTCAGTGATTTCTTATTAATTCAAAAACCACAGGCTTAAATTATACTAAATCCTAAAGGATTCATTCCACAAATATATCCTAGGCATTCAAGTCATTAAAGATCCAGTGGAAACAAAAATATATTAGATTCTGATTTAGCACTTATTTTAGGATCTACTATCTCCACCAATATTAATAATAACAATAATAATAGCTACCTTTTATTGAATACCTATAGTATGCCCAATAGTCATCAAGGTTCTTGCTATATATTATCTTGCCTAAGTTTTACAATAAAACTGTACATAGGTATTATTATTCTCATTTTACAAGTGAGAAAACTGAATTTCAGAGAATTTCCTCTAAGATCAGATAGGTTTTAAATGTTATTTGAGTTACAATTCAAGGCTGCATGCCTTTTTGAAAAAGTTGTGTTCTGTCCAGTATGTTATGTTATGGATAAGAGAGCCAGAAATACAGATGGCTCGTCATCTGATACAGTCTGATAAACTGGACATCCATCTATAAATGCAGTAGCTCAAAAGAGGAAACAAATCCCTGCTCCAAGAATTATTCCCACCCCCTCCACACAAAGAGTAGATAGGGATGGGCAACTTGAACATTGACTAACTAAAAATGGGAGAAGGGATACAAAGGTAAGAAGTGACTGGCTTACAAGCTTTCAAGAAGGAACCTAGATCCACAGGGCGGGGAGGATGGTGGAGTCTCCAGTGAGTAGTGTCCGATCTGTCTGGAAGGGGCAGATGAAAAGAAATGCGGATGGGTCCCTTGGGATGCAAGGGTGAATGATTGTCACCAGGACTAATTGTGAGGACTGGTAATGTAAAGGTGGAAATTTTATAGCAAGGCGGGGGCGTGATTAACCTTTCAGTCTAGGATCGCAGGGCCCTGGGACCATCAATGGAGAAGAGCGGAGAGTGGGACCCCACCCAGAGGAGCAGTGAGGACAGAGACTGAGACAGACAGGATGATGTGAAGAGAGAGGACGGACGACGCGAAGAGATGGAGTGCCTGGGGATTAGGGATCCAGAGAGAGAGAAGGACTGTGTGCCAAGGACCGTGAGGGGAGGGTGGGCGGGATTGTAGGGTATACCCTTTGGTTGGGCGATGATGCATGGATGGGATGGTAACTATGGCAATGAGGCGATATATGATGGAATGGATGTAAAACTAATGTTCCCCCACGTAGACTATCACACAATACACAACAAAACATTAAAAAAAAAAAAGACATAATTAAAAAAAAGAAAGAAAGAAAGAAATACAGATGGCTGGCATGTTTACAGAGGTCTAGAAGTTTAAATTGTCTATGAAAAGACAGAATGAGCTAGTGAACAGAAATTCAATAGGAAAAAGGAAGTAAAGTCTATTTTCTTTTTCACTCTTCTGTAGTTCTCCTTGTTTTGGAGGGTCTAAGGTGAGAACTACTGTTTCCAGATGTGAATCTTTATTTTCCTTCAAATGAAGGCTGCAAAGATAGGTTCCACAACTATATGCAAAATGATGCGATGGTAGAAAATCCAGTGTCAAAGATGAACTATGTGATTTATTATCATCATGTTTTAGAATTTTTAAATGCCCTTGCTATATGAGGATCAGTCAAAAAATATTGTTACTAGGGTCTAGTTCATACATGCACAGGTTTATTTCAAACAAATCCTGTTCAAACTTGTCTCTGATCAGTGATGGCTGCAAACTAGTTCTCTCTGTAATGCATGTGTCTTAGTCTCACTAGGATATCTTCAGAAAAAGATCCAATCAAAACAGTGCCATCTGAGGGGATCTGCTGGACTACTTACATTCAAAACAGAGAGGTCAGTTCAGAAGGTCAAGACAATTGTTTTGGGAGGATCTCACAAAGGATTACTCTTGATAGATTTTCTTGAAGGATAAAGGATGATCTCAAGAGCTGAGATGTTAAGAAGTTTTAAGAAGCTTCTAAATTGGTAAGTTGTTCCAAAGACATTTTCCCTATCACAACAATACACCTGCTCATTCTTCGAAGGCAGCGCATACTGTCTTACAAAAATTTCATTGGAAAAACTTACCCCATCCATCCTGCAACCCTGATATTGCCCCTTTCAGACTTCTTTTTTTCCCCCAAACTCAAAGAACATTTAAAAGAACCATGATTTGAGTCCCTCAAAGATGCCAAAACTGCTCTTCTGACATGATGTAAATCAAAGAGTGCAGCTTTCTTTGGTGAAGGGTTAGAGAGATAGAAACACTGCCTTAGAAGTATATAGACTTAGGTGAAGAATATGTTAAGAAACAATAGCTTCATATTTTGATATTTTTGTTAATAATACAAGTTTCTTTGACTTTGTAGCAATTTTTTTTATTTACCCTCATACTGTTAATGCTTGCATAAATAAATAAGCAGTTTTCTATGTCACTGCTTTTAAGATAGAATTCCAAGTTAATATCAGAAATTGAATGTATGGCAATTTCAGACAATTTTATTCCAACTTGCAGATGAATGAAGATGCAATGCTTTAAAAAGATTATGTTTTTGGAGTGGCAGATGGAATACATTTGAACTGGTTTAATGTTTCAATCACATGCCTTCATACAGTGAAATAAGCTTTAAACCACTGTAGAAACAGAGTCCAAATATGCCCTCACCTCTCTCTCTTGCTGGTGTGGAGGTCCTTTTTCATGCTTTTGTTTCATCCCACATGGACTAGTATGCCCCTTTTGTTGGCCTCCCAGTCCCTGCACGCACAATTAACAGACTTAAGCTGGTACACCACGCTCCCTCAGAAACTCCACCAGGTACCAGAGGGAAAAGCATGCACATTAGACCTAGATCAGTCAGGCATTGGCTGAGGGGTCCAGAAACCGCTCCAAGGAGCTAACGGCTATTAATCTTTTCAGAACTCCTATTCAAGATCCTTCCTCCCATTCCCACCTCCATCCACTGTTACAATTATTGCCAGTGTTAAAAACCTTATTCATCTATCACTCTGAGTTATTAGTGTTTCAGCCACTCATAAAAAGAGAAGTTGTTTTCTGCCAATATTGAAATTTCTACTATTCTTCCCCATTTAATCAATTGTTAGCCTACAGTGGCACATATGCAATGTCAGGAATTTGCTAATCAAAGTCACATTATTTTGAAATATTTTTATTTTCCTAACAGAATACACTCAAAGAAATGATTTAATATTGAATTTTCTCAAATTAGATACATAAATTCTGCAACACAGTCCTTATTATGTTTTTATTCAAAACTTGTCTCAGTCTTACTGTGTTCTCAGAGAATTTTCCTCATACTACTGCCTTTCTAGGAATCACAATGACAGTAGAGCTTTTATTATATGATTTGCTTTTCCAAAAACACTGGAAAAGTAATTTTGAAAAAAAAAAAATGGTAAAAGCTTTTAAACAATGAATTAAACTTTTCTTAAATTGTCTTTAAATCAATTTATTCTTTTTTTACTTAAAATAATGCATTATACCAAGTGGCTGAAACCTGAGGGAAATGTATAAAATTTACACATCTGATTTTTTGAATAAGCAAAACTTTACATGTGGATTTAAATGCTAACATTATTTATAAAAATAACGAGCTTTGGTTTTTAAAAATATGAACATGTAAAAAATTGTGTCAACACCTCTGAAAAATGGGTAGTAATTTCTAGTAGTAATTCAGCAGCTTACTTAGATGAGAGGGAAAAAAGCTTACCTTGCTAAAATCAACAGTGCTGTTTTCTCTGCTCACATCATTTTTATTTTCCACACAGGCTGGAGCAGATTGAGGAGAAACAACCTGACCTGCTAAAAGAAATTATTATTACAGAATACAAACAATTACTTACATAATTCTAGAGATACTGAGTGAAATAAAATTTTCAATTAAACTAGACTAACAGGTTTCTTAAGAAGTCTATGATGTAAGCATGAAGGTTCAATATAAACAGATCTATATAAATGCAAAAATTCTTATTTACCAGTTACAGATAGAAATGGGAGAATTTAGTCAAAAAAATGTAAAGCAATTCTCAAATTAAAACTCAGACTACAAGGTTGTTTTCTATTAAGAAGCAGCATGTAGAAAAATTATAAATCTAATAGTTTTGAAACATCATTTGTAAATTTCAACCAAAACTAATGGTATATTTTTTAAAAAAAGAGACAAGATAGAAATCTATTAAGATTTAAGCTTAGACTGAAGAATTTTAAATGTGTACATTAAAAAACAGGAAAGAGACGAGGCTGTCTGCTCCGATAAATATTTACAGTCTCAGAAATGCCAAGGAATTGTTGTTCTACTCTGTCCTTCAGGGTCTCTCTGAGTCAGAACTGACAGCCTGGCAGTGTGTTTTGTTGTTGTTTAGTGCTGTGGAGTAAGTTCTGACTCATAGGGATCCTGTATATGGCTTCTGAGGAGCAGCTGATGAACTTGAACTGCCAACCTTGCAGTCCAGTGCATTAATCTGCAGCGCCATACCAGGACTTCTGGCAGTGGGTAGGGTTTTTTTTAAAAAAGGAATGAATATTTATTCTGAAAGTTCATAGCATTATTTCTATCTTCTTTGGCATCTAAAGGAGTCCTGGTATGGTACGTTAGGATAAGCATTGGATTGCTAACCACTAGGTTGGTGGTTCAAATCCACCAGTCACTCCGAACTGACTGAATAGCACTTAGCAACAATAACAACAAAAATTATATCTAAAAATCAAGCTAATGGGAAAAATATTCTTTGAAAGCAGGTTTTATGGATTCCTATATGAGAGGTTCAAGAAGTTCCTGGCTGGCTCAAATGGTTAAGTGCTGGACTAAGTAACCTAAAGGATAGTCCATCCAGAAGCTTCTCAAAGGTAAATCCTGCTGATCTCCTTTGGAAAGGAGGTTTTGAAACCCTATGGAGCACGTCTCCTCTGTACACATGGGATAGTCATGAATCACAATTGACTTGCCAACAACCACTATCACCAACAACAACATAAGAGAGGGTCAGACTCTGAGTGGCTCAAATAATTAAGCACTCCACTATTAACAGAAAGATCAACAGTTCAAGTTCATCCAGAGGTGCCTCACAAAATAGGATCTTCTGAAAACTCGATCACTGAAATCCCTACTGAGCACAGTTCTATTTTGACACTCATGGTGTTACCATAAGTCAGAATCAATTTCATGACAACTAGATTTTGTTTTTTTTTTCCTGAGAGTTTCAGTTAGAAATACCTTTAGCTCACACAGTACAAACACTGTGAATATTATTTTATGCCTGTTTTTATTCAATAGCTTAAGGATATTTTTATTGCTCTGCCAACAAAAATATGAATAAACATGAATTGTATCCATTTTCTATTAATGCTAATCAGCAACTTAATTATTTTGTAGTCTTTTTACCATCATACAGAAGCTAATATTACTTATTAGTCCAGGTGTGGCACTGTGGGTTAATGTGTTGCGCTGCAGGTAGGTTTGAACAAGGTCGGAGGTTCAAGCTCACTAGCTGCTCCTTGAAAATCCTATGCAGGGTCACTATGAATTGTAACAGAGTCGACAGCACTTAACAACAACAACAACAATATTACTTGGTTTACTGGACAGTAAAGCCGGGAATGGGACAATGGATAGTAAAGGTTAATGAAATGTCATCATTTACTAAATTTAAAACATTCTTTGCAATCACAAGGTATCTCAAATTAGTATACATATTTAGTAAATACCTGATTAAAAACTCAATGGAGTCCTAGTGTGGCACTTGCTAACCAGAAGATTGGCCATTCTAAACTACCAACTTCTCCTTGGAAACCCTATATATGTGGTGGTTATGGGTCAGATAGCATTCAAAGCAACAAATCAATTTCATATGTATCCCTTTTCTTCCTTAGTCTTTTATTCTCACTTGTTTTTGTTGTGAAATTAGTAACTGACTGACAACCTAACTTTTGAAGTCTTGGCCATATTTATGATCATAATTCAGTGGTCCAAAGTTCTGATTTCCATCAGTCTTAGACACTGGGAATACTCTCTTCTCTCTCTCTAGCTCTTCTCTCTACATAAGCCTCAGCTTTAGTCAAACTTCACCTTTAATCTTATTTCCAACTACTTGCAGTCTATATTTATCTAGGTTTCTCTAAACTTTCAGTGCAGCTGCAAAGAAAACCTTTTCTGTGAATTATTTACAGAAGACTCACATTCTTCGTGACCTAGAAATTTTCAAGCTCACTTAATAATATACTTATTTACTTTAAAACATTACCCAATAGATACATTTTTATAGCTTAAAATTAATTGTTTTACTGTCAGTAAAAGGCCAAATACTTTTCTAGAACTTAAATAGTTCTGTTTGTTAACTAAACAAAGTAAAATAATACATTTATAAAGATTAAATAAAAATACGTTTTAAAGCAAATTCACCTCAAACCATGGACAACATTTGTTATTTTAGTATACTTCAAGGAAATACATAAATGTCATGGAAATGTCCAACTTAAGCTGCAAAAATTATTTTCATTCTCCCATTTCTAACTGCAATGTACAACTATGACTGAACTGTTCATTAGCAGCCATTCAATTTACCATTCTCAAAATAATAACTAATTTTAAAGAAAACCCTTTACATAATGCATTTGTGCAATTAACAGATGTCTTCAATCACCAGTTTCACATCATTTCTCAATATTTCCATGAGTTAGAACATTAGATACAGTTAAGCCTAACTTGAAGTTTAAGAATGTTCTATAAAATTGAATGGTAAAATTCAAGGCAAGGAAAATTAAATAAATATATATCTGCTTTTTTCTAATAATTTATCTTGTGCAGTATAAAACAACATGAAAGAACAAATATTTAATTCCATCAACAAGCACACAAAAAAAGAATCAACCCAATTGAATCATCAACTTTGAATATATTGAACAGGATGGAAAGTAGACTGTAACTTAAAATTTTAAGAAATTGAAGACTTTGTGTTTTCATTTGTATTCTTTAAGCAGAACATTTTATAAGTGACCTTCAGCTCCTGCAATATATTTAAACCTTAGCTTTTGTATTTATTTATTCTATCAAATTTTAGTATGTTTTAAGATTTATTGTTCTATGCTATTGTTTTTTTAAGGTTATTGACAATTTATACAATATATCACAGAGTTGAAAATCAGGGAGGGATTTAGATAGTCTGGTGTCTATTTTAAGTAATGTTTATTATGACCTTTCTATGAAGATTTAACTAGTAGGAAACATACAAAATGACAGTAAAGTTCTTACTAGTTGTAGATTGTCAATGTACATGTAGACTATATGTTAACGCAAGAAAAATACATTAAAATTACTAGCCTCTGGTATAGGGATATAAATTACAAATTTAGAATCTTTTATGTTTCTGAGAAAATAGTTAAGCATTGTTGTTGTTGTTGTTGT